AGTGCTGTGCGTATGGTGCTTGGAATCGTTCTAGTGGTGATCTGGAAGGCCATCTCCAAGCCTGTCCTTTTCACCATTTTACCCCCAATCTACAAGTTCCTCGGCATCTACCTCCCCCGCAGTCAGTTTATGCCAACAGCACACTCCCACCTGACCTCTAGACAGATCAGATCGCAATCGCTTTCGAACATGGCCAACGAGCCCTTGTTGGACGTCAACAAAGCCCTCAAATCGGTAAGAGAAGGCGACCAAGACAAAGTCGGTCCAACCGACGACATTGATGCTTACGAGCTTCTTGCTTATAGAAAAAGTCACCCTTCAGAGCCGCAGGTTGAGGTTAGCATCAGTGGTGTTTTTAGAAAGCGCTACGATGTGGAGATCATTGGTCGTACCATCGTTTACGCAGGTATCCCCTTTATGGCTACGTGGGGTTTCAAAACAATTACAGAGCTCTGCAAGGTTGCTTGAGCTAGGCAAAGTCTCCTTTGGTTGCAAAAAGGGTGTGGTTTATCTGCAGGTTATCAGCCAATGAGTAGGCCATGATACTTCGTTACGTAACGCACCGCGATGAGGCAGAAATCTCCACCATCTTTACCAAACATGAGTCCGATCCAGATGGAGGAAGCCAAAAGGCCAGTTTCTGAAAACCAGCCTGTGGACAAGAGACAGAAGCCACAAAAGAAATACAAGAAAAAGTACAAGGCTAAGGATGTGGATCCCACCCTGCCCATGGGCGTTCTCCAATTTGAGGTTAAGGAGATTCTTGCTGAAATTGGCCTCACTGAGGAGCATATTTCCAACGATCTTAGAGAGATCTTGAACGACAGCTCGGTCGAGAAAGTATACCACAGAGAAGTGAAGGATGTTGAGATTCTACGATTATCATCCAATGGTGATGGCCTCGCAGTGATTGACCATCCAGTCAGAATCGACGGCAAGCAGATAGTCATGGTTCCCTTTGGATTGCCTGGTGACATTGTCAACATCAGAGTGTTCAAGTCGCATCCGTTGTACGTGGAGTCTGACCTTCTTTCCATAGTGAAGGCAGGTGACAAGAGAGACGATTCCCTCATAAACTGCAAGTACTTTGGCAAGTGTTCTGGCTGCCAGTACCAGAATGTCGACTATGAGACGCAGCTTGAGTTCAAGAGAAACACCATCGCCAACGCATACAGATTCTTTGCCCCAGTGCTCTCCAAAAACAGCCAGCTCCCATCAATTTCCAACACCCAGCTGTCGCCAATACAGTACAACTATAGAACCAAGCTTACACCGCACTTCAATGTGCCAAACAAGAAACCTGAAAACTACTACAGACCCAGCATGGGCTTTGGTGCCAAGGGAAGACCTCAATGGAGAGAGACTGCTGGCGGTGAGGGATCCATTTTGGACATTGAGGAGTGCTCCATCGGCACGCCGATTGTTCTCAAGGGTATGACCAACGAGAGACGTCGCTTTGAAGACGAGTATTTGAAGTATAAGAGAGGCGCCACTGTGCTTCTAAGGGAGAACACCATCATGCCTGATGCAGAAGGCAAGATTGAGGTGGACCAGGGATCAAAGGATACAAACGATGAAATCTCCACGGTGGAGGTGGAAGACAATGGTAAGAAGTTGGTCAAGACATGTGTCGCTGAATCAAGAGCTATTGTCAGGGAATATGTCAACGGCTTCACCTTCGAGTTTAGTGCCGGTGAGTTCTTCCAGAACAACAACTCCATCTTGCCCATTGTGACCAAGTATGTGGAAGACAACCTTCAAATCCCCAACCTGAAGCCTGATGAGCCCAACTACTTGGTGGATGCATACTGTGGTTCTGGTCTTTTCTCAATCACTTGCTCCGGTGGTGTTTCTCGCGTCATTGGTGTCGAGGTCAGCGCTGATAGTGTCAAGTTCGCTAGAAGAAATGCCGAAATCAACAAAGTCCAAAACACTGACTTCATTGTTGGCAAGGCAGAGCAGATTTTCGCCAACATTGACACACCAGCTGAGCGCACATCGGTGATCTTGGACCCACCAAGAAAGGGCTGTGACGATGTTTTCCTCAACCAGCTCAGCACATACCACCCTGCAAAGATCGTCTACATCAGTTGTAATGTTCACTCGCAGGCCAGAGACGTGGAGTGGTTCATCAACAGTACAGAGCACGGCAAGGACTACCATGTGGAGAGCATCAAGGGCTTCGACTTTTTCCCGCAAACCCACCACGTGGAGTCTGTTGCCGTCCTAGCACTTAATTAGCATTTCAATTTAAAGACATACGAAAACGAAAGTAAATTTTGGTGAATTTGATAGCCAGGTGGTGGAAGCAAAATATCTAGGGCTCGAGCCCTAAGGCCTCCATACAGTGCGCGAATGCTTTTTGCCTGCACACAATGCGAGAATCCTCGCAGCGCTGATACCGAAAAAAATTTGAAACCCTCATAGAAATCTTTTCAGCATCATCTAGAATCAGCCAAAATGGAGAACGATAAGGGTCAATTAGTATGTGAAACCACCGAATAGATCGTCGAAGCGAGAGGTTGTGACAGAGTCCAGAGACAGAATATGCCATTTCCCGTGAATCCATGTCAGATTATACCACTTTTCATCCATGAACAAGCCGTCCAAGCTTCCATCCACAAACCACGTCAGGCAAGCATTTCCATGCTTTTTCTTTGACATCCAGGTTTGCTCTGGTTATTCCATGAGGTCCTGATCCATTCAAAGATCAGCATATCCAAATATCCACCAACCTCGATAAATCCAAGAACTCCACCACTCTGTCCACTTCAACGTCTCCCACACCCAAAAAACCTTTACTAACAGCCAGGTCGAATTGTACGTGCCAAGAAAGTGTTCTGCTTCCAACAGAATCATCAAGGCCAAGGACCACGCTTCCGTCCAGATCAACATCGCCAACGTCGATGAGGAGGGCAGAGCCGTTGCTGGTTCCAACACCACCTACGCCTTGTCCGGCTACATCAGAGCCAGAGGTGAGGGTGACGACTCTATCAACAGATTGGCCCAGCAGGACGGTTTGTTGAAGAACGTCTGGTCTTACTCCCGTTAAGCACCCGCCTTTGTATATGTAATGTCATTAATCGAAGAAGAATGTAGGATTGTTGATTTAGGAGTTTTGAATGATTTTGTTCAAAAAGAGTGTTTGAATTTGAATTTGTAAAAGTGTTTCATGCTAGGGACAGCAGTTGCTGAAACTGATAGTGTTCACATTCAGATAGAGTGTCCAACATCAAGTCAGGACTCAAACTCCTCACTTTACTGTCATCTTGAATGTCATCATTTTGATGGAGATCTCTCATGATTTGAAATGTTATCGAGTAAACCTTGAAAATCGAAATCTGCGTATTTGGGTGACTTTTGATGGCTGCAAAATGAGCACTACTAGATAAGCAAGCCAGAATCTGTCAAAGATGCATAATACCATGCCAGGGTACCTACAATTGCCATTATAAACAGCACAAAATATTACGGGAGTTCCGTTTATTTAGGGAAAAAAAAACCATTGTTTGAGTTTTGAAAAGTGAATATGTTTGTATGTAACTACCCTACTGCAAATGCAAACCGTTAGAGACGTACAACATACATAAGTTCCAGCACAATTTCCATTGCTAAAAAGAAAAAACTCCAAAAACCATCCCTCCAAAAAACTCCATAAACCGCTAATTCCACGCCTAACTCTATTTCCCAATCTGGCGACCAGCACCACCAATATAACACAACTCTACCCTGAACGGCACCACCCGTTTATCACCACACGGCTTTTCTCGGACTTACCCCAAACCAAACCAGCCCTTCAAACCTAAAAAATCCAAAACTCACCACACAAAACCCCCTCGTGGCCGGTTACCCAAAAAGTCCGAAGCATTCTCAACTTTTCACCACGGCCATTGTTCGTCAAAGTCCGAGATCCACCGAGCCCCTGATGCCCTAAACCGGCTTGTGAATGGTTTAACAAGATTTTCCAAAGAATTCAAAAACCGAAAATCCCCATATCAGCCGATCCGGCCCGGGCCAGCAGTTCGCTTATTCTGGCACTTCTGCGAGGCAGGTGACTCGCCCCACGCTTAGACAAGCGCCCCTAAGACCCCACGCTTTTTCTGGCCAAACGCCCAAAACAAGCCCAATTGACCGTCCGCCGCCACTCGCTCGGCAAATAGCACTAGTGATCTCGGAAAAGTTCAACACATTTCCCATTTTCTTCCGATCTGTGGAGCACCGGTGAAACTGTCTCATACCACCACCACATACGCATCTGAGGCATTGCCAGCAGGGTCTGGGAGATTCCACTGAAAAATTGACAATTTCGTTGTTAACGTTTTGCGGACAACGCAACACCGCAAAATCAGCCCCAGCCAGACTCGTATATCGCTGCTGTTCGCTAAACTATAGCCCTTTTTGCATCCGCCTACACACAGCAAGCACCCGTCAAACGAAACATAACCAGCACCGGGCCAGCTGGAAACGACGTTCTGCGGGCAGAATCCAACATCTAAGGTGAATTTCCAGGCTGACATTTCAGGCTTTTCGGGCTACCGCATACTCATCTGACTCTGGCATCACCCCACCGGAGAGCATCCAGCCGGCACTGAGAGTGAACGTTCGGTATTAGATTCTTCCAGCAGCGACTTGAAGGATCGAGGAAGACAGAGCTTTTTCAGCATACAAGTTTACTTGAGATAGAGAGTGTTACCGTTATTGGACCAGTCCTATCTATCTACAAGCATTTGCATCCACAGTGGTTGTACCATTGAAGCTCAGCCTAACATCAGGACCACACCGAAGACCACTCCGGACCACACCAAGGACCAAAATCAAGAATCAACATCACAGGCCAATACCAGAGCCCCAACAAAACCCATTAAAAGCCATATTTCAGGTCAACCGATATCTGACAGACTGACGCAGCCTGAACAGCGACTCTGAAAAACTCACCTATATCACCCAAAAGCACGCCTCAACCCCCAACCCCCAAACCCCAAAACCTAAAAATCTTTGTCATGTGGGCCGTCGCTCTGATGATCTTCCTGGAAGGCTACATTCCAGGGGCGCTAGTGCTTGGAGAACGGCTCCGGCAGCAGCGGCTTCATGGCGCCAAAAGAGTGCTTCTCGTAGTGCCGGGGCGCTTTTCGCACCGCCAGCTCCAGCTTCTTGCAGCCTTCTGGGACGAGGTAGTCCCGGTAGAACAGGGCCAGGAAACACAAAATAAAAATTTCAACGACGGCACTTTTTCCGGCTGGCGAAACGGCCACGCCGAGGCCCTCGCCAAAATCGCCCTCTGGCGCTTGCCCTACGAAAAAGTGCTCTTTCTCGACGCCGATACCCTCCCGCGGGCAGATGTGGCCGACCTTTTGGCGGTGGAGTTCGCGCCAGACCAGATCGTCGCGGCCCCAGACGCCGGGTGCCCTGACACCTTCAACCTGGGCGTTTTCGTGCTACGGCCGCTGCGGGAGACCCACGAGGAATTGACCAATGAAATGGCAAAGGTCGCTTTCGGCGCGAGTTTTCTTTACGACGGCGGCGACCAGGCGCTTTTGAACGCTGTGTTCAACCCTGATCCAAGCTGGCCCCAGCTTGCGCACTGGAGCGTTTCGCAGCCAGAGGTGCAGCCCCAGAGACCTCGCAGATGGGTGCAAATTCCGTACTTGTTCAACACGGCGGCGGAGCTCCAGGGCCCTGTTTTGAGTTTTTACGCTCTGGCGGCCGAAAAGCGGTTTCGTCACGATGTCGTGTGTGTGCACTTTGTCGGGCCCCGGAAACCGTGGTATGGAGGCTCGGGAGCGTATAGTGACGAGTGGTGGGCAGCATGGAACGAAGTGGTATCCCGAGGCAGAAGCGTGGAATCCTTTGAAACGGCGTTTTCGTCGCTGGCAGCGAGGGTCTGCAATATGGAGAGTCTTCTTGGGGAGGTCAAAGTGGCTCCCCTTGGCTCAGACCCTGTGTTCGTGGAAATTGAGGAGTCCAACGAGGAAAGTGTGCCTATCGAGTCAGAAATAGCCCCCTCTGTGGCGTTCAAAGACATGTTTGCGGATTTGAATGCAGAGCTCCAGCAGAACAAGCAACAAGCAGTTGAACCTCCTGGAAACTCAGGCTCTGAACTCTGTGATCCAGCCAAGTACATCGAGGCCTTTGGACCTACACCCCAGGAGGCTCTGTGGGACGCCACGAGAGAGGAACCACCACAGGAGCTTCCCAAAAACGAGACATTTGCTGAAGAACTCAAGGCTTATCGGACCCAGTGGTCTGAGAATCACGAGACCCAAGAACCTGCTCCAGTTGAGGAGATTAAAGAGGCTCCCAGGCCAGCTCCAGAAATCATCGAAGAACACGAAAACGCCGTTCCCACGGTCGTGGAGGCCACCAAGGCGCTTCAATTGGAGACTCCAGTTGAACATCTCAGTATCTTCCATAACCAGGTAGCCGAAAGAGTATTTGACCGGTCGGACTACGTCCCCATGCACTCGCTTTTGCAGAAGAAGGAGCCCAAAAAGGAAGTGAAGCCCGAGGAGAAGATTGTTGATACGGAAAGCGAAGCTGAGGAAATTGAGGCTGAAGAGGAGGAGGTTGAGGAGGAACCCATGGAAGTTGAAGAAGAGGAGGTGGTGGAATCCACTGAACCTGTTCGTCGTCTTGCACCAATCTTTCCTTGGGAACTCCGGCCTGCTCATGCTCCCGAACGGAGCTTTGACTGATGTGTTCGCTAAGGGTACGTATTTGAAGAAATTTCGTCATGCTGGATTTGGCAGTGGAGTAGTCTATTGAGGGTTTGTACGACTACTGTGGAGGGGAACCTTCGAAGCCTGGATTAATGGTGGTTTTGGTGGTCCATAATAAGAGCACCACCTTTTTATTTTGAGTAATACCTAGACTGAGTCAAAATCACTGGCTCAATTGATAGTGGCTCTTTTTTTGGTAGCTCTCAAGGCAATACGAACCAGAGCAATGACCAGTCCAACTGAAAGAAGCAATGTTATCAAATAGAAGCCCAGATAAAAGGGTATGGTGTCATTGGAGTCGATCGTACCCCTGTACTGAAGCCATAAGAAGTTAATCAATGGATGTCCCACCACGACGGCCAAATCAGGCAAGAAGTTGGAGCTGTCCACTTTCCTATCCATCTTTGTTGTTTTGGGGAAAACAAAATATAAGATCAAAAATATCACAAATGAGAAGACGCAAGCGATATCGATTCCTAGTTCCGTCGAGAACACATCAACATATCCAATCTTCAGCAAAAAAAACAGGATGACTGGCCACGCTAAAACAAAATAGATCTTCTTTGACTCCAGTCCAGACAGGTACGCAAAGATAAAGAGACCAGAACCCAATAAAGCACACATCCAATAAATGGAAAGGCAGAAGGCAAAGTCTTGCAATGCATGCGATTCATGATACACCAAGAGCTTCAAAGCGACACAGCGAACAACCAAAAGAAGGTATCCCGTAAGCGTGACTGAGCGTAACGTAAAAGAGATACCAGCCAACAATTGTAATAGTCCTGGACCTACAAGTGCATTCCATGCAATGAAAAGGATCTCATGAAACAGAAGGTTGTAGCTCGGAAAGATTACCTTCTGATTTTCAAATTGCACGATAAATAGCGTGTACAGGAGTATCAATGATGTGATGGCTGCATTGATTGTCGGCTGAAAGGAAGAATCTTTAGGCTCTAGGCTTTCTATATCGTTCATCGTTGGATTTAGTAAAAAGATGTGGTCTGTTGAAAGGTCCAGCCGCACTTTTCGGATGACAGATTTCTATGCACGCCGTGCATACATCAAACCATTGATTTATAGTATAAGCGGCATAACGAGGCTTTTAGAGTGCAGCGGCATTTTTTAGATTTTTGTAAGCTGATGTTGGTTTTGATTCGGAGCAGATATTTTATTTGGGTGACAGTTTGTTGCAGGATTGAAGAGCATTTGGGGTTACAGTGTCTGCACAATCATGATCAATCGAAAGTTCGGAGGATTTTCCCTAAGAAGCCAAACTAGGGTGAATCAAAGCCACATTCAAGGTCTTGGTGGGTATAATTTTGATCAATAGTCCATGCTGCTGTCTATATTTCGGCTCACGATTGGGTAATGTAAGGATGAACGTCACTAAGTATCTACCGGTCCATATTAGCAAAGAAAGGAGCATTGGATCCGTCGAAGATGAAAAATGTACTTTCATGAACCTGAAAGTACTTCCCAAAAGGCTTCTTTAATCTTAAGTAAACAAAACTGTGTATACCCAGCGCAATCGGAATACTTCAGAAGCCTTCAATTCTGCATAACTAATTAGAGTCAATCATACATCAAGTGATGCCAGTGGCCGAACAAAAAGAGAACGTAAATTCCATAAAGCTCCTATCACTTTGCTACAAATGACTCACAACGATCCAAAATCCAGGTTTCTGAGTATCAATCAAAATAGGTGGGTCGATCGAGTGGGACAAGTTGGTGAGCAGGGTCGTTTAATGCGAACGAACGGCTGCAAACTTCTGCGACCCATCGATCTTCGATATTAACAAAGATCGACCAAAAAAAAAAGAACACTAAACCTCCAAATTTGTTATTTCTATACACCCCTTTTGCCTCAGGTAAAATTGCCTCCGGGATGAAACACCTATACACCCTGTCGATCCGACTTCGCCTGCTATTCTAGGAAGGTGAGCGGAACCATAAACTGGATACTTGGATTCGGACTTTTTGCGCTGTTTCTTCAAAACCCCATCCAATTGAGTAGATCCTAGGAAAATCCAGCCTATTCACAGACCCCGGTTTTGAATCAAGGGGCCTTTCCAGGTCACGTGACACAATAGCTCATCACCCTGATTTCTCCCTACTCCGGCCTTCGGTGATTGGAATAGATATAGATTTACTCGATTTTTGAAAAGAGGTTTCCTGAAGTTTCGCCAATTTCCCCATAAATTCGGTGTGACCACCTCCATGGCAGGAAGGAGGCAGCAGGGGTTACCCGGCCATGAAAAAACTTTTTCTCACCGCACCACCAAAAAACCATTCAACTCTTCCTACCACCAACTAATCCAACATGTCCAACGAGCTCCAGGAAGTCGACGCTGGCTTGATCGAGTCTAACTACGACAATGTCGTCTACTCTTTCGATGACTTGAACCTTAAGCCCGAGATCGTCAGAGGTATCTTCGGTTACGGTTACGAGTCTCCTTCTGCTATTCAGCAGAGAGCCATCTTGCCTATCACCGAGGGTAGAGATGTCCTTGCCCAGGCCCAGTCTGGTACCGGTAAGACTGCCACTTTCACCATCTCTGCTTTGCAGAACATTGACGTTAACGAGAAGGCCACCCAGGCTTTGATCTTGGCTCCAACCAGAGAGTTGGCTTTGCAGATCCAGAACGTCATCAAGCACATTGGTTTGTACTTGAAGGTTTCCGTGCACGCCTCCATCGGTGGTACCTCCATGGCTGACGACATCGAGGCTTTCAGATCTGGTGTCCAGATTGTCGTTGGTACTCCAGGTAGAGTGTTCGACATGATCGACAGAAGATACTTCAAGACCCACAGAGTCAAGATGTTCATCTTGGATGAGGCCGATGAGATGTTGTCCTCTGGTTTCAAGGAGCAGATCTACAACATCTTCAAGTTGTTGCCAGAGACCACCCAGGTTGTCCTTTTGTCTGCCACCATGCCTCAGGACGTCTTGGAGGTTACCTCTAAGTTCATGAACAACCCTGTCCGTATCTTGGTCAAGAAGGACGAGTTGACTTTGGAGGGTATCAAGCAGTACTACATCAACGTTGAGGAGGAGGAGTACAAGTTCGACTGTTTGTGTGACTTGTACGACTCTATCTCTGTCACCCAGGCTGTTATCTTCTGTAACACCAGATCCAAGGTCGAGTCCTTGATGGCCAAGTTGAAGGAGAACAACTTCACTGTTTCCGCCATCCACGCCGACTTGCCTCAGGGTGAGAGAGACACCATCATGAACGAGTTCAGATCTGGTTCTTCCAGAATCTTGATCTCCACCGACTTGTTGGCCAGAGGTATCGATGTCCAGCAGGTCTCCTTGGTCATTAACTACGACTTGCCAGCCAACAAGGAGAACTACATCCACAGAATTGGTAGAGGTGGTCGTTTCGGTAGAAAGGGTGTTGCCATCAACTTCGTCACCTCCCAGGACGTTGGTATGATGAGAGAGATTGAGAAGTTCTACTCTACCCAGATTGACGAGATGCCTGCTGACATTGGCTCTTTGTTCAGTTAAGCGGTATGTACCATACAGCGTATAGCGTGTTTACGTTTCTAATCATTGCTACAATTGAAAAATATGTTTGATAATGTGTAGATCACCGTAGGTCCCAACGGAAGCGAAATGGACGTGTGATCATTCAGGCCCTGAAGAAAGAGATGGGTTTATGATCGTTCCGTTTAGATTGAGAAAACTCATTAACGTATTTCTTTGACTCAAATTGAAAGGCATTCTTATTCGACTCCTTGATAGTTGAAGAACGGTCTGTCACTGGAAAGGAAATCTGTCACTGGAAAGGGAATCTGTTACTGGAAAGAAAATATTCGAAACGGAGAATTGTTTCTTGGGATATGAATGTCTTAGATGTTTCTATGCTGAAGCATCAACAGAATATAGCAGCAAGTATATTAGAGACTGTTTGGATTAATAGCGATTGAAATATGCAATTTTCAGTTTAGAGAGGAAATTTCAAGCAGATATATACTGGTAATTGTGGTGAAGAGTGACACTTATTCCAAACATGACACAAAAGAAAGAAAGAAAAAAAAAAAAAGATCACCGATTAGGAAACCTTATGATACCTGTGGCTTCCCTCGATGTGGCTTACGCATTACCATGGCTACGGTCACACTGTGGTTAATAGTCTTGCGGTGATGATCAAGTAAATCACTAATTTTCTGTTGCATCATTAATAAAGCAAAAAAGGTAATATCCGTGGACACTGACGAAATCATACTCATGCAGAAAGAGTAAAACCACCAATTCACGGGAAAATAGCGTCCCCACGGGTTGCTAAGAACCTAAATTATAGTTACAATCACAATAAGTTTAACAATTCAGCTCATAAAAATTTAAAGAAAGCTTGTAATCCAGACGTTCCACATTTCAGAACACTCGTGAACTCAGAAAGATGCCGTTCAGTACCTTGAAAGGACCCTGGAAATATTAATCCCCTTTGCATCTACGAACCCATTACCGTATAATGTATTGACCCAATTAGCTAAAATAAATGCGAGAAATGAATAAATATGCTCTAGACATAGTCGGGAATCTCTAAATGAATAAATGGAGTATTCGTGCCCACAGCAGGGTAGTATAGGCTGTTCTCAATGTCATCCTCTTGTGTAGCAATGTTAACATATGTTCTCTCACTCACCAACTCGGTGTCACCGTAGGAGCCAAAACCAGCTTGGACCAATCCTCTTCTGACCCAAGGCGAGTTGATACCGCTAAAGTGAAACTCCACTTCCCTATCGGCGTAGTTGTTAAGCGCCTTACGGATATCCACAAGCGCCTGAATGGCTGTAGCGTCAATCGATGGAACGCAGGAAAAGTCAAAGTGGATGATTCTCAAGACTGGTCTGGTGTCGTCCTCAAGGTTGGTTTCGATCTTGCTGCCAAACTTCTCTTTCCAGAATGGCAATCTCCATCTCAATGGACCAGGATCGTTCCATGGTCTGTCACCAGGGTTGGCGTAGAG